ATGAGTGGTGTATGATGAGTGGTGTATGATGAGTGGTGTATGATGAGCGGCGTATGATGAGTGGTGTATGATGAGTGGTGTATGATGAGTGGTGTATGATGAGTGGTGAATGATGAATGATGTATTGATGAGTGGTGTATGATGAGTGGTGTATGATGAGTGGTCTATGATGAGTGGTGTATGATGAGTGGTGTATGATGAGTGATGTATTGATGAGTGGTGTATGATGAGTGGTGTATGATGAGTGGTGTATGATGAGTGGTGCATGATGAGTGGTGTATGATGAGTGGTGTATGATGAGTGGTGTATGATGAGTGGTGTAAGTGATGTATTGATGAGTGGTGTATGATGAGTGGTGTATGATGAGTGGTGTATTGATGAGTGGTCTATGAGTGGTTCTTGAATGTCCGTAACACGGAAGTTTCGTACACTAAACCTCCTTTCACTAGCGATGGCCTCCAACCTACTAGCAATGGCCTCCATCCTACTAGCAATGGCCTCCAACCTGCTAGCGATGGCTTCCAACCTACTAGCGATGGCCTCCAACCTACTAACGATGGGCCCCCCAACCTACTAGCAATGGCCTCCAACCTACTAGCAATGGCTACTAGCAATGGCCTCCAACCTACTAGCGATGGCCTCCATCCTACTAGCGATGGCCTCCATCCTACTAGCGATGGCCTCCAACCTACTAACGATGGCCTCCACCCTACTAGCGATGGCCTCCAACCAAATTACCAGCGATGGCCTCCAACCTACCAGCAATGGCCGCCAACCTACTAGCAATGGCTACTAGCAATGGCCTCCATCCTACTAGCAATGGCCTCCAACCTATTTAAGCATTCTTCAGCAAATAAAAGAGTTTGCTCCGAGTGGCTTGTAATCCTTTACTCCTTCTCTCACCGAGGACTTCCCCTTGGCATTGGCAATGAGGTCCCCCATGTGATGATTCACAAGACGATGGTCTGCTTCATCTGCACGTACCTCAGCGTTTCAACATTTCACAAAGAAACATCTTTGCCAAGCAAACCAAACTGATCCAGAACCCCTTTCTAAGGGGGCAACCAAAGCCGACAAGGCACTACCAAAATCACATCCCGCAACGTGGCATCCTCTGGCATATTCCAGTACTTAATGGCAATGGCTGGAGCAGGCACGTTCTTGATCTTTCCTTCATCCACCATTCGAAGCATCTCTGTGTAGGTATGCACTGCCTCCTCTTCCAAATAGCCAACAAAGCGATGCGCAATGCGCGGGGTGAGGACATAGAACACAGTGTAAGCTGCAAAGAAAATGCCTTGGCCACAAACCACCATTGCTCGTTGGTGCCACCTCTGCTGTGACAGCTCCATGAAGGTCATCAAATGCATGCGTTCATTCTCCGCTTCATCCATCACTGGTTTGATCCAGTTGCAGTGCACCATGCGTCGTAAAGAGCGCATGTGATGAATCATACCTGCAACGAAGCCAGGAACAGCAGCGATGGTCTCAAGCATGCATGCACGATCCAGCAAGCGGTCTTTGAAGTAAGCATCGCTGCATCTGCGTAGAAACTTTACAAGTCTCAGAGCGACCCGGTCCTGCCAAGTTACAGGCTCATAGTGTGGCTGATCCATCCAGTCTTTGTCCAAAGCCTCCAAAACCTCACGAGATGTGCGGCTGTATCGTGTGGAATGGCGGTGAAACTGGTGGTTCATAGGCTGCTCTGGAGCAAGCTTCACACCTGCAGGAGCAGGGTTCAGCATGCGTGCATCATGCGAGCAGTGCGAATGCCACCGCATTGAACAAATGCTGATCTGCCCGAATGCCATGGGAGGCGAGCTCCGCGGTGCAAATGCTGCCAGGGCGGACTTTCGTGTCAATCCACGCACAACCGTTGCAGATTTGGATGCCATCATGTTGAAGGCCATTGGCAAGCTCATTATTGCTACTCTAGCGGCTCTAGGCGGTCTCGAGAAAACTCAATTGCGGACAAACAAATCTTATTGCATTACGCAACTTGCAGCTCATGGCACACACCACATGACCCTTGCATAACCCTTGCATGACCCTTGCATGACCCTTGCACCTTGAAGTCAGGAGGAAATGGCACAATCTTGAAGTCCGGTGAGCTTTGCTTCATGGGCGATGCTGTGGAGCACTGAGGCAGGCGAACCTATTCCATGTGTGTGCTTTGTGTTATGCGAAGTGTTGACACCAATTCCTTTTGCAGGGCTCTGGGTAAGAAAGGCCAGGTCTCTGGTTTACAACCCAAAAGCCTCTCGAAGAGTTCAGATCGACATGCTTCACATGAGTTGTACAAGGTGCTGAAATGTTACATTTGTTGTGGCTTCGTCTTACGGGCTGACAGGCTGATGTTGGAAGTAATATCTAAAATGTGTGCGGATCTTGGAAAAAAAATACTGCACCGCACGCGTTCTATTCTTTTCCATCACTCGATCTGTCCGCCGCATCCGAAGATGCATAAACAAGGTCCAGGATGTCCTCGCGCTTAGATGCCGCTTTGACAGCCTAGTTACTCAAGGAACAGTTGTGCTGGTCCTCTGGTGATTTGTTCGTGAAATAGTCGTTTTCCAGCTTGACACCCTCGACCTGACAAGTCCAAAGTCAAAACCGTCGTGCACAGCTTGTGACAGGGCCTTGCAAAGCTCTGCGACTTTTTCGCGCACCTCTCCAGCGGACACAATTCAGAAGTCAATACATGTTCTTTGGGAGGAGGTTTCGACTAGGGCGTAGTAGTAGTAGTAGTAGTAGTAGTAGTAGTAGTAGTAGTAGTAGT